TCGAGGCGGAATCAGAGTCTCATGTGAATCGGTTGGCCCGAGAATTGACGGCACTACGACAAGCGCAGAATGGCAACGTTCCTGACGGTAGCGCGAGCGCCTCGCCGGAGACAGGGATTGGGTTCCGTTCGTTCATGAACGGTAGTGGTGCTGCTGATCCAAATCTTGAGACCTTGCTGGAAGCCTTGCGCAGAGAAAATGAACAACTTCGAAACAAACTTGTCGACACAGAGAGGGATTACATCCGAGTAACGAGGCTTAATGAGGTATACAGGGAAGAACTTATCGAGCACAGGCGTCGTGTATGTTACCCACCCCCATATGATGCAACTCACTGTAGCCACAATACTGATACAAATGGTTTTTGACAGTTGGGGATTTCCGTTGATAATCTAATAGGCCTTGCCTCTGCCGACCCCTATTCCCAACCTACGCACAGACGGTCGTCGTCCTTCACAAATGGGTCATCGCCTGCAACATCAGTGATGCACGTTCCGACCCAGGCGGGAGCACGTCCAATACACGCTGTTCCAATTCCCCGGCCATCGTCGCGTATCCATCGACCGCTCAATATGACTTCCGAGGGCAATACACCACTCTCTCATTCCCCAGGGTCGTCATCCGAGTCGCCCTTCCCTTTCTCCCCCGCCGCTAACTCGGGAAGCTTCACGAGCCCCAATACGAATATCACAAGCCCACCCTCGTCCTTCTCGTTTAATTCGAATCCAGGCGCGGGTACCTCCTTCCACCCCCGTACCCTCACGTACCCGTCCGTGCCCCCGCCTTCCCTGTCTTCCTCGTTTGGTTCCCCGACGGTCCCATTAAATATGCCACATGGGGAATACTCCCCGATTGAGCCATTAAGCCGGCGAAGTTCGGGTGTCCCAAGAGACGCTGATTGGCGCGTGTCGGAGTCAGGGAGTCGAAGGAACAGCGTGGAGCGGGGCGCGAGGGTCGCAGAGACGGGGAGGTTGGTGCCGCGCAGCCGTACAAGCAGCATTGCTCCAACATCGCAGGCGTCTACCGCCATCAATGGAACTATTGACTCGGAAAGAGCTGGTTCGTCGAACTCGAGGTGATTTGTGCGAACTTCTTGAGATTTTATGAATGAAAAGGAAAAGACAGTACTGTACCATATAATTTTGATAGAGTATATAGACTATGTCCATAGTAGCTTGGTGAGGTGAGAATACACCGATTTCTCTGTACGGCGGGCGAAAAGGTCACATGGACCGACGAATCCCGACGAATGCTATGCAGGGACCCCATTGAACTGCCATTTTCGGGGTCCTCCCTGCCTCCTGGACTATTGTTCGACAAATTCGGAAGCGCCGATGACTCGTCGACCCGCCCTATAAATGAAACCATAATGAACAATGCTCAGTGGCGTTTCCTTATGTCGTATCCATATGGCCAGTACTCTGGAGAAGAACTTTCCGATTCGACTGCCCCGCTCACTTTTTCTACTTGGATTACAACGGAGAATGAACAACCTCAAGCTCAAGCCCAACAGCAGCAACAGCAACATATTCAGCAACACTCAAACTCGCCTGATCAACCATCCCCGCCATCACTCACCCCACAGCAAAATCCAACACCGCAGCTTGAAGATCAACCGTCGTCGCGCGTCACGCCCTCTCAACCTCTCTCAGCCTTTGATGACACTCCAATTCGCCTCCATCATGTCCCTCAGAGGCATGATTATGAGGGACGCCGTGAGAGCTTAAGGCGAATTGAGCATCGCGCCCACGAGACGCGATCGAGCGTGGCGTCCACCTCAACAGTCGGCCCCACTAGACAGACGCGCTCTTCACACGTTATTCAACAGCAGCAGGCGCATCCATATGACAGGCGCCCACCTAGTGCGATGAGTTCAGCGCCACCGTCCCGCCAGCAGCCTATGACCAGATTTTCAAGTGTGCAGCCATCAGCGCCGGGATCTTCGTCAATACCTTCTTCCGGAATGCACTCTCCCGTTGTCCCAATGACGGCAGTACCATCGCCGGTTATACCTTCACCGGCCAGCACGACCAGTCGTATCGCTGGTTATGGTTCAGCAATTGAGCACGTCGTTCTTCGATAATTTTTCAAGCGCTAATGTGTTTTTGGACAGATCGCCGGTCGATACTACGCTTATTCCACCTTCAAGAGACAGAGGGAACCGTGAGCCGCGCCGCAAGTGGATGCTCCGCTCGGACTCTTGGTACGATCCAGAGACTAAGAAACTTAGAGTCATGCTCGAAGTTCCAGGCGTAAGCAAAGCCGACGTAAGAGTGACGCTCTCGACGTGCTCCTGGAACCGTGTTAAGCAGATCACTGTGTCTGGTGTCTCGCGGCCAGTGTTCCCACCGCTGTCTGCGGCAGAGTTCGCAGACGGGATGATGCTAGAGCTTACTACTACAAGAGAGCGGAGGTTTGGCGAGTTCGCAAGGACGTTTGCTGTTCCCGCCGAAACCAACGTGCGCTTTTTCCTGGCGCGTCTATTTGAGTCTGAGGTTTTAATCGTCTCTTCTTTTTTGTTCCTGTTCTTTCCTAGCGTGAAGACGTTGAGGCGTCAATAGAGAATGGCATCCTACACATCAATGTTCCGTGTGGTGTACCTGTGGCACCAAAAGCAGAAGATATACCTATTCAGTAATTTGAGACGAGAAAAAACCCCTCAACTTCTCAAGACCAACGACCGGATACCGACCTTCATAATTGCAACTCAAAATTGTTTGATCCATGGCCCTACCTCCCTCTGTGCCTTGCTATCCCACCAGCACTCTCTTGTTATCTAATTGTACTCATTAGTATCTTTACTCTTGATTTCTTGGACTCGACACCAACATACCTCCACTAGGGGTCCGTCTTTGCATATACCCTGTCCTTATCTAAATAATCATATTACCATAGTTAAGCACCCACAATCTTGATCGTTCATTTCTTGGAGTTTCAGCATGAACAAGTTGAAGATTGGAAAGTTTGAAATTGGAAAAGGCACTGTTCACACAAACGTGACAACTGGCACGTGGGACAATTTATGCCACGAAAGTCGCCTCCGTTAAGCAGTGATTTGCTCGTCTGGTTTCCCAACTTTCAAAACATTTTTTGGGCCTCAAGGCCACCTTCTTTGTATAATTGTCTCTCCATGGTCGATGATAAATACATCGGTATTGCCCTTGCAGTATCTGGATCGGTCTTAATCGGCACAAGCTTCATTATCACCAAAAAGGTTGTTGCTAATATGTCCGGTACACTTGTTGGTAGAGCTCATCTGTTCTTTTCTATAGGGTCTAAACGACACTGCGAGGCGCAACGCACAATACGGTGCCCAATCTGCAACTGACAACCTGTCGTATCTGAAGAATCCAATATGGTGGGCGGGATTGTCAACTAGTATGTGATTTTGTCATTTCAGATGTCAATGTTGACGTCGTTTTTTCTCAGTGGTCATTGGAGAAGGTATGTTGGCTTTTGGTCTCATTCGAGCGGGTGATCTCATGGAGCAGTTGCAAATTTTGCGGCGTATGCATTTGCCCCACCAATACTTGTGACGCCACTCGGAGCACTCAGTGTATTAATCGGGTACGCGGCCTCTTTTTGTATTGCTTGCTATCCAGCTCACCTGTCGAACCCAGCGCTGTCCTCGCCTCTTTCTTCCTCAGCGAGGAACTTGGACACCTTGGACGGTTAGGTTGCACATTATGTTTTATTGGCTCCCTCATCATCGTTCTGCATGCACCGGAGGATAAAGACATTCAAACAGTGGATGAGTATCTGACTTATGTTTTGCGACCAGGTGCGTTGCCATCTTCTGCACTCTTTGCTTTACTGAACCGGGAATATTCAATGCAGGTTTTCTATTGTATTGTCTAACGGTTCTTGTGTTTACTCTCATCATGATATACGCTGTCGCACCCAGATACGGCCGGTCAAATCCACTTATCTACATCTCCATCTGTTCTCTCGTTGGCTCGGTGTCCGTTATGGCCATCAAAGGCTTTGGTGTTGCGGTTAAGCTTACCTTTGGCGGCAAAAACCAGTTCACACACTTGAGTACATATGTGTTGGGAATATTCGTAGTGCTATGCATTCTTGTGCAGATGAACTACTTCAACAAGGCACTTGACATTTTCTCCACAAATGTGTAAGTCTTTCAGACGGCGGCGACCTCATTACTGATTTCAATCCAGTGTCAATCCGATGTACTTTGTCGGCTTCACATCAGCCACCATCACCGCCTCTCTCATCCTGTTCCAAGGCTTTAATACTACCGGCGCCACGAATACAGTGTCCCTTCTCTGTGGATTCGCTGTCATATTCCTTGGTGTACACATACTTAACTTGTCACGAGCGACAGAACCGGCTCTTGGAGAGCACTCGACGCTCGAAGGTGGCCTTATGAATCCCCGGCTAAGCTTGCAAGGCCGCTTGTCGCTCGATGGATGGAACGGTGATACACGTGTGGGTCCACCGCCTCTCCCACGGAGCCATTCTCATCGCGGCTCACATTACCGCAATCAATCAGCGACGCTTTTCAATGCGTTCGGTGAACACGAAGATACGTCAGAAGCCGTAGGACTGGAGCAGTTAAGGGAGGAAGAGTCGGATGAGGAGTATGATGAGAATGCTGATGAACGGACACGATTAAAGAAAAATGACTCCAAGCAGCAGCTTAATGGTAATGGCAGGCAGAGCGGGTCTCGTAGCCAGAGCCACTCCCCCATTCCAAGTCGTTCGGCGTCGACGGATGCCCGAATAGCGTTGCCATGATGATCGCGGCTGTGATCATGACCATTGGTGTTCTTACGATCATAGATACCCACATCCCGCAGAGATGGACTTATAATATGACTTGCGGTTAATTAGTTAGACTTCCTTAGTTGTCGTATGAAGCATACTGTTCTCAAGATGAGAGCGAAACCCTATATTCAACAATTTGATATGATAACCAATCATATGTGGTAAGCTGAACCTGAGTAGTCAAAATTAGACGGTAAGTCTAAAGAAGCAAAAATTGGTTCAATCCAGGATCGAACTGGAGACCTTCTATGTCCAATAGACTGTGAGACAGAAATCATAACCACTAGACCATTGAACCACTGATAAGCAATGTATACGAAATGCCTCAGGTTCTCTCTCCTCAGACAGGCAACACTTTCTACGCAAGAATGAATCAGTTATACCACCCGTTCTAAATTTTGCGACCACCATGCGCATCTACTAGCATCGACTCCGGCCAAGGAATTCCTAATCTCTGTCATCTATACATATTCGAAATCCCTGGATGGTAAGTGTGCTACTTTTACAAGCTCGAAAGTGGAACACTATGAGAATCAAAATCACGGAAAGAGACGATAATGACTAGCTGTGGGATCTTGCTCACTTTCAATCGTTTTTGTATTTTCACCCGCGAGTTCACGTGCATAACGATTGTGATTTGCGTACTTTCGACGGAAACTGGTATTAGTACTTAGCATCTTTCGACGACTCCGCACGTTCAAATGACTGGTCTCGATTGAACATGTAATTGAGCTTGTCGGATTTTTTGACACATTCTACGAGAATAAATTTTTGTGCCCCGGTGCTCTCCGGTGGCGGACCGGTTCATGTTATTCCGTCATGTGTGTTGTCCGCGGTATCGATACTTCTTCTCTTCTCGTCCATCTTACATATACCAGAGCAAATCAAGCTTGACAACGATGACGGCAGCGAGTGGAACAGTCGACACAGCGGAGCGGATAGTTGCGCTACGCCAGCTGATGGCTCAGAAGGAGCATAACGTCCAAGCATATGTAGTTTCCAGCGAAGATCAACGTGAATATGGCCTGTTAGGGCTGCATGATATCTGGAATTGACGAGGTCCTCATAGATTCTAGCGAATACCTCGCGGATTGCGATAAGAGGCGAGCATTCATCTCTGGATTCAGCGGCTCCGCTGGTAAGTTTCTTTATACCGTTCTCACTCGCGACTCGCATTTATATGCTGGGGTGAAGGATGTGCTGTCATCACGCCGAAGGAAGCTTTCATGTTCACAGATGGCCGCTACTTCCTGCAGGCGGCGAAGGAAATGGATCGGTTAGTCGTATGGTACTTTCTGCATGGTTGCTCATCGTAAGATGCGCAGAAATTGGACGTTGATGAAGCAAGGTCTACCAGGTCAGTCAATTGGCCATCGTATCCATGACTCACTGTTTTGCTGATTGGACACAGATGTTCCTACCTGGCAGGAGTTTCTTTCGAAGGTAGGTGGTACATATCTTGATGTTTGTCGGTCTAGTGACTCATGCATCTGCCAGAATCTCCAATCTTCAACGCGGATAGGCATTGACCCTAAGCTCATATCCGCATGTGAGGAAGATACATCATTTTTCCAATTTCCTTTCTATAATGCCTACCACAGCAAACGCCGAGACCATTATAAAGGCTCTGGAACCCAAAAATTCCACATTGGTTCCCATCGACAAGAATCTTGTTGACCTCGTCTGGAGCGAACGTCCTGCCCGGCCTCGCAATCCAATTATCCACCTCGACGAGAAGTACGCTGGCCAATCACTCGGTCACAAAATCAGGACCCTCAGAGAGGAATTGGCAAAGAAGAAACATCAAGCCTTCGTTGTTAACATGCTCGACGAAATCGCCTGGTTGTTCAATCTCCGTGGCTCCGATATCGAGTATAACCCTGGTGGGCTAACGCGATTTGATGTTGTAAGATGATTGGACGAGACTAACGTTCGAGTGCAGTGTTCTTTGCTTACGCTGTTATCACAGCTCACTCGGTTAACCTGTTTGTCGAGAAAACTCAGCTCAGTGATGATGCTCTCAAACACCTCGGGGATGATATCAAGATTCGACCATATGACACATTCTTCGGCTATCTCCAGGAGCTTCCATCCGTCCTGACGCTTGATGAGGAAGCAGTATGTGTTCTGACTATCAGACCAGCGGTCATGCTAACAAATCGTAGAAAATTCTCATTGGTGAAAATGCCAGTCTTGCAGTCGCGCAGGCTTTGGGTAAGGTGAATATTAGCGAGACTTGGACGTTCCAAGACCCTCATTGTGACTTGATCAGGATAAATATGTGATTGCACCCTCCCCTATCGCCGAGTTGAAAGCCATAAAAAATGCTACTGAGTTGGAAGGCTTCCGCCAGTCACATGTCCGCGATGGCGCTGCATTGGCGCGGTACTTTGCTTGGCTTGAGGAGGAGCTCAACAATGGCGCCGAAATCAGTGAGAGCCAAGGTGCAGATAAATTAGAGGCATTTAGATCGTGAGTGTCACTAGTTCTGAATCTAAACGAGGACCTGACAGTTTGTCTGTAGTGAATTGAGCCTGTTCCGTGGTCTCTCGTTTGATACAATCTCATCAAGTGGATCAAACGCAGGTAGGGTTACACCAAGACTTTCGTTCTCTCGATCTCATATCTTTGGCACGTTCTCAGCTATTATTCATTACAAACCAGACCCAGCGGACTGTGCAATCATCAAGAAAGATCAGGTATAAATTCTCATCTCAACTACTATTCTGTAATCTGAGCCACTAGACTAGATATACCTCTGTGATTCTGGAGGCAAGCAGCCCCATAGTTTATTCACTATAGAAGACTCATGCTCTCTGTAGCCCAATTCTTCGACGGTACCACGGATGTGACGAGAACCTGGCATTTTGGTACTCCGACAGAGGAAGAAACGCGAGCATTTACTCGGGTCCTTCAGGGGCACATCGCAATCGATACTGCGATATTCCCCGCAGGAACCACAGGTCGGTCATTCCATTTCTTCGATGAACATCTTCAGTGACTTGTATCAGGCTATATAATGTAGTTCCCGTCTTATGTTCCGGGGTATTGTCTGATCCCCTATCAGTGATTCGTGGGCCCGCAGAGCACTGTGGAAGGATGGATTTGGTATGCTTCTATTGATCCTTGGTTTCGTACACGTGAATGATGATCATCACAGACTATCGGTATGCCAGATTGTATGCCATAACTGGGTGTTAACGATTATCCAGTCACGGCACTGGCCATGGTGTAGGTCACTACCTCAACGTCCACGAAGGCCCGCATGGTCTCGGTGTACGGATAGGTAAAAATTCCAACATGGTGATCGCGAGGAATGGCTCACGGTATCTGCAGCGTACAACAGCACGCCTCTCAAAGCAGGCATGACCGTCTCTAACGAGCCGGGCTATTATGCCGATGGCCGCTTTGGCATCCGTATAGAGAGTATCGTACTTGTGCGTGATGCCAAAACACTCAGCAACTTCGGGGACAAGGGTTATCTAGGCTTCGAGGTGGTCACTATGTCAGTATTCATATAAAGTATTCTGCGTTCAACGTCTTTACACGGAATTCTTCAGGTGCCCCATTTCTAAGAAGCTCATTGATATGAGCTTGCTTACTGTGGATGAACGGAAGTGGTTGGATGCCTACCACGCCCAGACATGGGAGAAAGTATCGCCACTTCTTAAGAATGATGAAAGGGCTTTGAAATGGCTGGAAAGGGAAACATCTCCTCTTTAAACAAGACTACATAGAAAAGGGCGCTCATTACAATTGATTGCTTAAATGAAAATATCAGCAAAGCTTGGGCGATGATCACTTGCAAGGAGTCCAGTGTCAGAGAGGGATGTCCCTGTATTATAGCCCTGCGCCGTCCTAACTCTCCATCAGTACCAGTTTCAGAAGAAGACTGTGTGAACCTGCCATTCGCCGTTGCTTCCGCCAAAGATGAAGTCGATCCTTGTCCATTGACCTGTATCATTTGGAGCTGTAAACCCAGTGAATGTCGCAAAATTTGTTGATACGCTGCGTCGTGGCGCCTGTCCACGTAGATCGAGCATAGTGAAGCCGGGAAGCTGGTCATCATCGACGCGATATTTGGCCGCGAATGTAGCGTTAATCGCAACTGGGGGTAAAACACCAGTGATGATATTATATGCCCCGGAGTCTGAGCCCATAGCAGCGCTGTGGTTTACTATGAGTTAATGCAAAGAATTCACCACGCGTAAATGATACCTATTGAAATCACCTGTGATGAAGACTGGATTACTTGTGTTTGCAGCCTCAAAGCGAGCTCTAGTCAGAAGCATGGATGCACCAAGCCTTCGTTGAGCGTCCGATTGATCATCCAGGTGAGTGTTGAGCAGTGTGAACTTCTTTTCTTCACCGGTACTAGATATGGTGGAGAAATGTGCAGCAGTGCAGATACGGATTGAACCTGCACCAGGAAATATGGAGGGCTCAAAGGGAGTATTCCTGAAAATTAGGTTATTCAAAGGAGTGGTCAGGTGGTCTATCTACTTACGATAACCAGAATGAATCATTCGAAAGAAGCTTCACTTTAGTACTGAGAGAGGGAATGAGTGCAGATCGAATTTCTCAGGAGAAAGCAGCATACTTCTTGAAAAAAATTGGACTGAATTCACCAGCTGCCACACCATCGTCACGCCCAACACCAATCTGTAAACATGGGATATGTGAATCCGGATCTCTGACTAATTTTTCTTTTTAACTAACCCAGGACCATTCCGGTCCAAACAGCTCAGCCAGATCCTGGACTTGTCTGACCAAAGCCTCCTGGAAACCTAAGCAACATTATAGGACTACCACATATTTTTTAATGCAAAACACTCGCTAGCTAGTGAGATCCCAGAACTGAGGAGTTTCTCTGCGACTTGAATGCGCCTTGTGCTCCAAGGCTGTTCCGTGGTCAGAGCCAGGAATGTAGGCTGCAAAAGTGAATCTTGAAGTGAGTCAAGAGATTGTTGTACAGTGATATTATTTGGCATAGAGTCGAAGCGAAGGTTCCAGGTGACTATACGCATCGCTACGGTTGAATGGATTGCTATACATAGGATCTGCAGGCAGGCGAGTGTGATTAGTGGGTTCATGGGAAGAGGGAGTGAGATGGAACAAACGTGTTACTGAAGGCTTATGATAGAGCAAGCGACGAACGTTCAACCACATTCTCAGGCTAAGTCGAAGGTGAGAGGATAAACAAGAAGTAAGTTCTTAGTGAGAAAATCGTTCTCCAAATAAAAGATAAACCCGGGTTTACATAAAGGAATCAGTAAATTCAAACATTACGAAACCCCA